CTTTTTGTAGATATGACAAGCATTTAGGGAAAAGAAACAATTCCAGTAGCAGTATTAAGAGAGGGATGAAATTCGGCAGGAATGGGTTTGCCAGTGAGGTCAGTTAAATAGTGCACGAGCTTGGGATTCTGATGTAAATGTGACAAGGCGTGAATGATCGGAACTGCTGTAGGTAACTTTGCCTACTTGCTACTAGAGGTACTCAAAAGGTTTGCAGAGGTAGAGGCAGTAGAAGGACGAGGGTGAGAGGAAGATGGGGTGTTATGGAGTGGAGTAGTTCTGTGTGGGGGGAGGGAGGACAATAAGAATGAAGAATAGTGACAAGGGAAGAGGGAGTAGACAGTTAAGAAGACTGTGAAGTCGGAGACTGAGGGGAGAATGTTGGAAGATAGGAAGGGGTACATTCTGGTTTAGTAATAACCTGGGTGGGTAGTTTACAATGGATAATGTCAGCAAACATTGAGGGGGGGGGATTACTATCAGTGGTCGGAGTCATGGTCAAAGAAGGGGCAGGGGTTGGAAAATCGAATTCAGATAGGCTAGTTGATGAAGGGGCAAGCCTCAATGTCCCTATTAAGGGGAAAAACCTTCATTATTGGCCATCGTGAGCCTGAATTAATGGGGGAAAAGAAATGGTCCACCCTCAGGGTACTCAAAAGGGATAAGGGCTAGGCTATTAAACAAGAGAATACCGTGCCCATGGCTCCTGGAGGCCGTTCATGACTGACACAAAGCCAGCCTTTCATTCTTTCAATGCGGCTCTTACACCTTAGGAATGGGACAGAAGAAGGTGATGAAGAAGATACAGAAAAGGGAGAAGAGACCATGCAAAATTAGTTGCAGTGAGGGCTGAGGCCCAGGATAGGGCCCTACATTGGGCCTCATTCTTTGTCTCCTAAGCCCTCCCATGACAACAATAAGCAAGGTAAAGGGAAGGATAATAAGAGTGGAGGGGGTAGATGATGAAGAAGACTGTGCAGTAGGAGATGGAGTGTAAAGCGTTGGGAGAGATGAAGAGGTGTATTCTGAAGGTTTGGTATCGACCTAGGACAGATGGGAGGGGAGCAGAGCGAAGGACAGTTTTGGAATTGATAGAGAGGAAAAAATTCTGACACTTGCTCACTTACAATTACAGATAAACAATACACTTATACTTAGCCCACTGTTCCTGGGAATGCATGAATATATACATTGTCCACTGTCTTTTTATGTAATTAAATTAGTTCATACATAAATAGTTCCAGAAGCATATTAGTTACCAAGGAGTCAATTGCTAGACCTCTCTGACCTCATTTATTTACCTAATTCCCTGATTTTTCAGAAAGAAATTTTATTATTCTTATTAGTGTTATTATCATTAATTACATTTCCCCAATAATACTGATAATAATAACATGCATAATAAAACAAATATATTTGAAAATTTAAGTAATAAGGTAAACTGGTTAGTAATTACCTGAGAAGCCCCTTTTGTATAAAATCAATAAAACAAAATGTCCGTGGACAATACGCATGCTAAGTACCCATGTTAAATTATATATGCATATTCAGCAATCACTTTTATTACTTACTTTTAAGTTAATTGTCTCTTGTCCTTATCATCATTATCAAAAATAAAGAAAGATATTGACATTACAGTTCAGGCACATGATTCCTATCCATGCAATAGGAGACACGTGGATCCTTCTAATTGGTAGTTGTCAGTTAACTTGCTTCATGATGTTGCTACTTTAACTCTTAAATTATAATGTGGTGTTTAGTAGACTGTCACATGCTTCTTGAGAAGGAATGTACACCTGAATACAGTGGATTGTAAAACAGATAATAAATCTACAATAAAAGGCAAATTGACAACCAAGTTATTTCAGCATTTATATATATTGTAAAAACTCTGCAACATGTACGTATATTCAGTACAAAATAATTGTCATACACTTATAATAAACTCAACCAGGCTGTCAACAATAAATAACACAACAGTCAAAATGTGTGCCCACCTAACATGATGGTAATACTCAAATATTATCAAAAATTAAATCTTGATAAGTTAATATCAAAATAAATATACGATTACTTGCAATTTCAGTTTAAGAAAACCATTCCAGTTCTTTCTCCCAATTGAATTACATAAAGCATGAATGGTATGAATCCATCTAAAGAAAATACAAATACAAAAGGTATAAAATATGTGTACTTCTTTTCTAATGGACTTATATTCTAAACACTGAGAGTCAGTGAGTAACAGGAAAAGGGGACACTAAGATCTTGGATACCATATCTTGTGTAAAAGAAGAAAGCCACAGAGGGTAAAGAATAATGTATGTTATCAAATTATTTCTTAATGCGGTTTCTCATAAATCAATCAGCCTTTTGGGTGTTAGGCCAATATAATGGGAAATTCAACTGACTAACACTACTGTAATGTCAAAAAATTATCAGTAGTTGTTAAAAAATGTATTCCATATTTAGTGGCTCCTGTCTGCTAAAAGACATACCTAATAGTTTTACCACTGAAGGGACTAGCTACAAGCAATCACTTAGGTCTTTTGGTGTTTTAGAAGTGTATTTTCTCCATTTTCAGGTGGATTTTCTTGCATCTAGATCTATTTTTTTCTGGAAAATAGTCATAACAAAAAATGTGTCAATATCAAACATATACTTCTTATCCAGTACCCCCTGCTTCTGGTGAAATTTTCTGGCTACTACTTTTGAAACTGAGCCTTTTGATTTGATTCTCATACCAACTCCACAAGAAAAAGAGAGGAATCAAAATAAATTGTTGCCCTATATTACATGTATTCTATGAGATCAGTGAAAAATATACTTCACAAGGCACTTAGATTCTCAAAAGACAATATCATATGTAAATCACATACTCACTAAGAATCCTTAACTTACACCAAACGACCCATGTATATAGACCTTGGATACTTAGCTTTAAGCTGTGGCCACTGTACAAAGAAATCATCAACAACCCTATAAAGAATCTTGCCTGAGAGGGAGAGAGACAGCACGCGGCACAGACTCTCTATGAACACAATACGAATCTGACTCAGGCACAAAACTCTCATTATGAAAGCAGCAATGCAAATTGGAACACATGTTCCTGGTCCGTTGGTGAGCAGGAGTGATGGCCGATGGCGAAAAACGATAAGCATGCTGAAGACAAAGGCCCAAGCAGTTGTGAACACACTTGACAGCCACGACTGACCCACTTCACGTGATCTTGGCACAATCTCAACTACATATTGGTCCTCTTCATCAGGTCCTTTGGCTCTTTCCTGGAATAAAGTATCTTTTTCATTAAGAATCATTTGCACTTATAGTTTATACTTTTACTGATACACCTCCTGTTTTTCCATAAACTTTGGTTCTAAGACTGTATATTTTGCCAAATCAACAGATCTGCTGCATATCTACATCTTCCTGTACTCCTATAAAGACAACATACTTTTACTTTATGTGATAAAAGCTTAAAAATTTACTTATGCAGTCCAGTTTAGTCTAAAACAATGCAAATAACAAATAAAGTTCATGGTCACTAACACAAAAATGGCAACAAAATGCACTTCAGGGTAGACATTCTCATAAAATAATACAAATAATAATATAACTCAATACATCAGATAATTATAATTCCATATCATAATTCCAGCAGTTTTATAAGTGCACTCACTGTAGAAGATATCCACAAACCTTAAACTCTTTCTCCATATCTTGCAGACGTCTCAGACTAACAGTGTCAGTTGCAGCAACCACATACACTCTTGGGCTGTAGCGGCATACATCCAGTGCACGAATGATTTTGAGCATTTCCCCAGTGTGACCTCCTGACCCTAATACTACAAGCGACTTGATGGACCTTTGTACATATATGGGTTTGTCACTGCAACAATTCATGACATACAGGGTATATCCTATGCGCATTAATATAAATGCCAATAGGAAGATGAGAACTACGAATATCATCATCATCTTGTGTTTTTCCTAGAAAGATAAAGAGATGTTTGTATTATAAAAATTGTAAAAAGACTTGTATGATGTAATTACCTAGGTAATTTTACACAATAACTCCGCATAATGGTTTGCAATGATTCTGGTATCAATGAATTCCTCTTGCTCTCTAGTCTCCAAATATATTGAAATTTTACACAGAAACACCCCAAACCCTAACATTTTTGGCTTAGATAGCAAGAGAAGGCATGACAGGTACCAGAGAAATTGCGGATTAAAATCGAATAATATACACAGATTCAGTCACTATGTCTAATGTAGGGGGCTGTGCCCACCAACACCTGCCCAATAAAACAAAGAATTCTCCACATGACTGGCATGCAGGTGCGCTCAATACCAAGTCTGTTTGACGCTCTCTTCTGCTGTGAATATGTGGACGATTCTTTGTTTTCCTGGTCAGGGGTTAGGAGTACAGCAGTACCCAATGGGGGGGGGGGGTCACAAGGGGTATAGCCCCTGCATTAGACAAATAATGACTGATTCTGTGTATCTTATTCATATTCTACCCTGCAATTTCCCTGGTACCTTTCATGCCCATCCCTGCTATCGGGGCCAAGACTGTCGCTAATGGGGGGTTCTGTGTAATAATTTATATACATTTGGACAATAGAGAATGAGAGGAATCCAACTTACCAAAATAATCACAAACCAGTATGCACAATTATTGTGTAAAATTACCATTACTTAAAAAAATAATGCTAAAAACTGAGAAATGTTAATGCAAATCACAAGAAATTGAAGTTAGTTGCAATCACTCAATTGCTAATATTCATTTGAATACCTTGTTCCATAAGAACTATTTTACTTTTTTAATGACTACTGAATACTAGAAGTACTCATTATATATAATCTTGCTATAAGTTTCGGTAAATTTACAGAACAGTTCTGCCTGATCAAGACAATTTTGGTATCAATGGATTTCTCTCACTCTCTCAATCTCAATCTCAATAAGAATGCCAGGGTGCTAATGAGCGCATAAATATGCATAATATACTATCCAAGTATAAAGAAATTATTGTTCAGAACCCCCCCCCCCACATTGGCGACAATCTTGGCCCCAATAGCAGAGGTCATTAAGGGTACCAGAGAAATTGCCATACTTGGTTAGTGAGAGGAATCCACCAGTCCGTTTGTCAGTCTCAATGAGACCGGCTGCCGGTAAACTCACATACTACTGTCATCTTTACTTATGCATATACATTTCCTTTATACAGACACGGTAACCTTGTGTACAACTTACAGAATCAATATAGCTCTATGCACTTATCAGACCAATAAAGTTGCAAAAAGGATGCGAAATAGCGACAATTCTGACCCAAGATGTTATTCTTTTAGACATAAACCTTCGACGTCCGGACGCGAGCTGCTGTGGCGATGTTTCTTTTTATGTTAAGAGTCCTTATTATATGAGTTTATTGATATTTTCAGCAAGATAAGAAATGGAAACATAGTTATCAACGTATACTGGTACACAGATATTGCCATACAGTAAGATATATAATGAAAATAATATGAAGTTCTGTCGTCATAATCGGTTTCGAACACTCATGTGCCTAAATTGGAATCCAAATTTCCGAATTAAAAAAAATATTTTTACGCATCATCAAAAGTTACATATAGAAAAAAACATTATATTGCAGCCATAAATATTATATAAGTAAACATAGAAATGAATTACACTTAATACTAGATGAATAATCTAAAATCAAAATAATTTCGAGTATTTACGTTTCTCCACAATGGTGGGAGTGTTCCTCTGTAAAGTGTCATCCAATCTGAGAAAATGAGATTCTTTGCTTTTTGATTGATTTCGGGAACAAAAGGTAATTGTTTAATGAAAATGTTGTGTCCGAATGTTCTCTTAAATGGATAAGAATATATGAGATTGTATTACTCTAGTCTCTATTAGGTAATTGGAATTAAAATGCACAGTGACGAAACTTTCATGATTTGCAGAGACAAAACTTTTGGAACATTATCTGAGTCATTCTGTGCAAAGGCTTCCAAATGCCAGTGCTTAAGAAATTCGGTTCATTCGATTTTCCTTTGATGTTTAATTTCCAGATATAATACCTTTAATCCATGGAAACAAGCGATAGCAATGATATTGACCCTGATAAATAGGGAGGGTGTATACACAATACACTGATATTACAAGGAAAAGGCTTTAGATTTGTTGGGTACAGGAGAATCATACCTTGCCAAGCAATTAAAAAATAACTCTTGAGAGAGTGTTTAGGGAGTGAGACCCCGAAAGGACTGAGAACGTTCGTCACCAAAGTGTATTTGCTCAACCTCAATCAGACCAGAATAAAGAGTGATGATTTTGCAGACCAGGCAGGGAGTAGAGGGTAGTAGACCATTATAAGAGGGGAGTTACGGGGGCACAGCCCTCTAATTATGGCCAATGTTTATTGCAATAGCTGGATTATTAGATAATTGACCTCAACCTTTCACTTTTACCCTGCAGTTTCATTGTTGCATATTATTCTCTCACTGGGTAACAAGGACAGTAACATAGCTATAATTCATTTGCGTTTTAAACATGATGAGAGTTATTAGAAAATTGTTGTCAGGCTCCTTTTCCAAATTTACTGGGATATTGTATCAAGTTCCTTTATTAAAGAGGGTTGTTTGTCTTTGCCAGACCACCAACAGAATTTGAGACTGCTTTGATCATGAGACACTACACCAGTCTAGATAGTGCCACTATCTTTGCTATAGTTTTATTTCTTTGCAAAATAAACTATATCTTAATGATATATATCAAATACCATTTGCATATTCCAATCTATTTATATTGTGCTCTACAGCCTTTTGATTTTTTGTTTACTTATTTATTTTTTATAAATACTTTTTAAAAAATAAAATGCATTTATAGGAAGCAAAAGTCAATGTAACCAATTTTTGCAGATTTTTTTTATGGCAATCTGATCCAGCTCTTCCCTTCCACCAAGAAATCTTGTGGATGGGGGTTAACAAAACAAGGAATACAGTTAAAAGAATACATAAAAACAGTATTTTCATCAATCACATGTACGCTTTGAATTTGAGGTTCTAATTTGGCTGAATAATCAATATTACCAGGACTTACCACTTTGTTGCACTACAGTGTAAAGATCTAAACCAAACATGTTTAACCTTGATTGAAAATGTTTATTGTGCATTTGAGAAGTTAATATTATTCTTAATATCTTACCTTATTATGGCTTATATACTTTGTGAATATTAAATCATCTTATGTACATTCTTTTGCCTTACAGCTTAGTAGAATAACTAAAAAATGGATGTTGGTGAAGCAGAGTCTGAGGCTATTGCCAGAGCCTCTCTTCTGGTGGCAAATATGCTCCAGCGGCCAGACCAGTTGCAAAAGGTTGACCAGTATAGGAGACGAGTCCAGAGGAAGAAGGTACAATTCATTTTCTTATGTACTTGATAGTGAGCTACAAAGTTTATTGCTTTGAACTTAAATTGTCCCATTTGGAATAGAAGCTCAAAGTTCCATTTCTTATTGTATTTATATAAATTTGTTTCAGAATACTTTGATCTATGACAAGTGAATATATATTTATTCATTTTAATTCAGCTATATATTTTCATATTTTTATTTATATATATTTTGTTCTTTTTTCTTGTCATGCAAAAAAAAAGGTACTAGTGATAATGTTATTTATGATTATAAATACATAATATGATGAAAGTTTAAACAGTTATATATATATGTTATACATATATTACCAACAGGCATCTGTTGAGGCCATGTTGAAGACTGCCATGCAAAGCCAGCTTGATGGAGTCCGTACTGGTTTAGGCCAACTACAGGCAGCCCTGACAGACCTCAAAGAGATAAAGACAGGGCAAGTATTAATTCAATATGCTCAAAGTCATAAAAGGACATAGGTGTAATAATATTTGTACATTGATTAAATATATAGAATGCATGTGTATATATATATAGAAAGATAGGTAAATAGATAGATAGAGATTGAGATATAGATGTAGATAGGTAAATAGGTAGATAGATATCAGCATATTTTTTTAGGTTATTTTTCTTTGAATTATTCAATTTTCCCTTTTTAAGAAATCTAATTAATTGTGCAGGATGGCTGAAATAGAAACAAGCTTAGTTCGTGTGCCTGAACTAAGCAATCAACTTTATGAGTGCCGTGAGGAGTATGTCCGGTACTCACAATATTTGGCTGCCATGGAGAACCTCAAACACATCTTCACTGTACCCGAGTCTGTTGAGAAAACTTATAAGTGGATTAATGATGGGAAGCTACTATATGCTCACCAGGTTTGTTATTGTTGGTCTCTCATAATTATGTATGGATATTGTTTGATGTAGTTGAAATGTTTTGTACATAACTCAGCCATGTATTGTTAGAGAAGAGTTGGTAGATTGCGTAGAGTTGAAATAAGTCTTGAAAGTGATCCGCTCAAGCATGTTCTTAAAATGATACATGTGGAATTTTTTCAGTGCCTGATGGACTTGGAGAATAGCCGAGATGAGTTGCTCTTTGAACTGCACAAACTCCCTCATCAAAATCCAAACGATACACGCGTTCTGAAAGAGTCATTTGCCGATGTGCAGAAGCTGTCCGATGATCTTGGTGTGTTTTTCCCTGAATAGGGTTTGATTTTTATTTAATAAATTGTTTTCTATTTTATAATAATTGAAAAATTTGTGATATACCACTCGTCATATAAATATTGTGTCCTTGGCTGTAAGAAGAGATGTTCTAAGACAAGAGTTTAATTTCAGGGAAACAAGTTTGGATTATCCTGCAGCGCACTCTAAACACCGTCAGAAAGGAACCTACCCAGATTGTTACTGCACTGAGAATTGTTGAACGTGAGGAAATGACTGATCAGTCAGCTTTGCAGGTAACTCATTTTTAACAATATTGTTTGTATACAGGATATAAAGATAAAGATATCATATGTGCTTTTTGTGTGTGCGTATGTGTCTGTGTCTGTGTGTGTGTGTATTATATATATGTATGTATGTATGTATGATTTGCACATTACATGTTTGTATATTTACAAGTATAGGCCTAAGCAGCTATTTTCTAGAAATGGGTTAGGCAGATGCAGCTGCACATCATAATGATATTGATTATTCAGTTTTAGATACATAAACATTTATGTCATCAGAATCAGTTTTTTTTTTCAGTATTTCAGTCTTATGATTCATACATGTTTGATAATAAGAGTGATTACAGTGATGGTCCTTCTCTTGCCTCCTCTTCTAACCCATATTCATTCCCTCGTCTCTCAGCGCCAGAAAGGATCAGGGTTCCTACCTCCCAGGCGCCCCAAGAAGTGGCGAGAGAAGGCATTTGCCGTCTTGGAGAGTTCTGCTGCACAGCGTATTGAGGGAGGACAGTTTGAGGACAGAGAGACAAGTAAAAATTGGTTGATTAAGCATCTGGAGGTGTGTTGATGTTTTTTCTTTTGTATTCATTGTTTTATATGTATATGTGTGTATATATATATATATATATATATATATATATATATATGTATATATATATATATATATATATATATATATATATATATATATTTATTTATTTATTTATTTATTTATATATATATTTTATATACATATAAAATTTTCAACCTTTCCCAAAAATTCAGTTCTTGAAAGCAGTATAGGTTTATGTAATCCATTTTGTTTCCTTTTGAAACAGTACTTAAAACAATATGAATAATCATTTCCTTACTGATATCTCTCTAAAATGCAGCTCTTTTTTCTTGAACTGATTGTGGAGGTTATATTTCCAGTTCTGTAGAGGATAGGGAACCATTTTCTTCAGTGTAGAGAAGATAAAATGAAAAATATTTTCCTAGAAGTTTCACACTTACAAGTTTTGAAGGATAAATCTGCTAAGGATGGTTATCATACACAATATCTCTTTACCCCACAGGTTATTCGACTACTTTTACTAGAGGACATGAAAGTCATCAAGTCATTGTGTGTGCCATGCTTCCCTCCACACTATGACATTGTCAACAGATACGTTCAGATGTACCATAAGAGCTTGTCTAACCATGTATGTAGTGCTTTGGAATCACTAAACTCTGACAAACATCTCCAAATAGCCAAAAGTTCTGATGAAAAACCTAGTTTTAGTGTATTCAAGTATTGTTTGTGGATGTTTTACTTTATTGAAACATAATTTCTTTCTCCTAATTGTTTTGGATAAAAAACAATAGGTTGTAACTCCAGTTATATCTGCTCATTGGTATTTGTTTCCAGCTGGTTGAGATAGTCGAAAGAGGCCTAGAGGATAATGAATATGTGACTCTCCTGTCGTGGGTGCTGAATGTATATGGTGGGAAGGAACTCATGTCTCATCCCCAGCTGAATATCAATGTGGCAAAGCTGGGGCCTTTACTGGAGAATAAAGTACTAGAGGACCTCATATCAAAGTACCTACAGGTTTGTAGTGTTTATTTTTTTCTGTCGTGAGTTAATACATTTTTGCCTATGCTGGTGTGTTTGTTTGCTTTTTTTTTTTTGCCCTCTTTCGCTCTTTTACTCTAATTTTTTTGTTCTTGTCTTCCTTTACTTTTTCACTTTTCTGGATCATCTAGTTTTCATTCTAAGAAAGGCCTTCAACCTCCAGAATTATATTGTATGTATCTTTCACAGAATGTTAACAACAACTATGACTCATGGATGGGTCGAGCCTTAGAGTTGGAGGAGAAGGAGTGGTACCGTGATGAACCACCTCAGCAAGATTCCGAGTCCCATTATAAGACAGAACTCCCGCAGCTAATTCATGACATGATCCGTCAGAACCTGGAAGTAGCTGGTACCATAAGGTGAGGGTATGATTGAAGATATGTTTAATTTCTTTTTTTGCAGAATATAATTTTAAAAGTATTATAGAAAGTAATAAATTATTAAAGATGATGAATATAGAATTGGGATAAATAAAAGGTCCATGATAAAATGTTAATGATAATAAAACATTCAGCCAAAACAAACAAACTAACTAAAAGTCATGCTTCTCTTTGCCTCATGATGCACTGGCAGCCCTGAGGTGCAAGTTCAAGTCCTGATATCAAGCTTGGTGCAAGTTCGTCTCTTTGCAGCCAAATTCCAGACTGCAGTGACAAGATACAAGGACACCTATTACAGTGACAGATCAAAGGTATAGTATTATTTGAGAGTGACTTTGAGTCATACATATGCCACTATTGATTTATAAGCAGATGTGCTGGGTATGTCATTGTCTGCATGCCTTGCTGAACAGTACTCTGCGATAGAATGAAGAGTTTTTTCTAACTGCAAAACTTAATAATTTTTTTCATATTTTCCCCCCAAGATCCAATACTTCACAACCTATAACATTGCTCTGGCTAATGGTTGTCAAGGATTAGTGGGTGTGATGCTTGATATTAAGTCTCAGTTTTGGAAGCCAGGAGGATCAACTCAGACTGATGCGAAAATAGCCACCGAATTTGATGCTCTGCTGACCGTGTACCAGGTAAAGGATTTATGAATAAAGTAAATGTTACCATGTTATATAGAAAATACTCTATGTAAAGTATTTCTGTTGTAAAGAAAAGGGTGTTGGTTTAAGTCCACCTATCTGGCATATAAAAAGAAAAAATTGTAATATATCACATAAATATAAAGTTATGTTTACAACAGTGCAATATCTTTATTTTATGTAAAAACTAGCAGTGCATGATGATTTTATAAATCTTCATAGAAAAAAATCAGTCTTGTTTGGTGAATATAAATGGTTTTCCTTTAAAAATTTCATCACATTACATCACCCCTTAAGCCAGAATAAAATCACATTGTTGGCTCTGTCACCATTGCAGCGTTTGAGAGAGCTCTTGTGCGATCATCTACTCGAAGAGGCATTGGTTGATCTTCAGGAACAGTTTAATACTCTGTTGACTCCACGGTGGCTTAATAACACTGAACCCATGGACACCATCTGCCTCACACTCTCTGATTATTTCACAGATTACCAGCACCTGTACCAGAAGTATGTGTGGTTTATGATGCTCAGTCATTATTCTTTTCATATAACTTGTGCTGAGTTTATTGTGCTCAATCAATTTTCTTTTCATGTAGCTCATGCTGTGAGTTAAATGGAATTGTAAC